ATGGATCGATGGATGGATGGATGGGATGGGATGTGTGGACACATGGATGGATGGGTGGATGGATGAATGAGTCGATGAATCATGGTCGAATGATTGGTGGATGGACAAGCTAAAAGTTAAATGGATGAATGAATAGACGAATGGGTGAATGAATGGATGAACGGATGGATGAATGTAGTTACAATCAAAAGATGGATGGATGCATAAAAGGAAATTTGAATAAACAAAGGAGAATTAACAACAATTTTCTCGTTGAAGCAGTTTCGTACCATATTTTTCTTTTCTTTTTCAGTTCAAGGAAATCAACCATGCACATACTATATTATCGGATCCTGGCAAACGAGAGATATATGACAACTATGGGAATATGGGACTTTACATAGCAGAACAATTTGGTGAAGAGGTAAGGGTTTAAACTTTCAATGCATGATAATTCGAAAAATACAAAAAAAATCCCAATTTTGTTTGCAAGTGGAGAAACGTGTTGCGAGAAGTAAACTGTGGGTCAACTTTTTGCAACATATTTAACTGTTTATTGCTCATTTGTTATCACAATCCAACCTGTCACTCTTTTTAGCAGCGGCTGCCTTCATTACTTTTTTATTTATTTATTATTATTATTTATTTATTTATTATTATTTATTATTATTATTATTGTTCTTTCGTATATATATTATTATTTCTCTGTATTCGGTTTTTCCTTGTTTTAACTCGTGGATAAATTATTGTGAGAGGTCTGAATATGCTAATGAGTCACTCACTCACTCACTCACTAAGATGTCCGGTAATCGATAATTAAACGTTTATCAATCGTCTTATGTATTCTGCTTAAGAACAATATTAAATTTGCTAGAACCGACAACCATCTTAGAAGATTCCATTCAAATACATCCTTAATTTTAAGCTAATTAAAGTGCTTGAATCTCATTTTCCCCCTTTTTTATTTTTTCTATTTTTTTTCATTTCACCGTCCAACAAAGTTCATATACATAATACAACCTTTAATRTTAATCCAAAATTATTTCATTTTTGTTCACGTTATTGTTTATTCTTATATAATGAATCGTTCTTATATTTATTGCCAACACAGATGAGATTCTAAAAAATCAAAACTTCATTATTTTGAATAAGGGTGCTCCAATTTGTACCTGCTGTTATGACGTTCAATTTGCAACATCACGGGAAAATATCAAAATAATTTTAGTGAAATTACAGGAAAAAGAAACTTATTCGATCTTTAATTTCAAAAATATTTTTAAAACCGCGGACTCCAAGAATCCGAATCTAGTAATTTGAAATCGAGATTTAAAGCATAGATCAAATATAAACTCAAGAGTCTTAACGTTGAATTRTTTTTTTCTCTTATGAAATATTTATTACTCTATTAACCGCAGTTCATAAATAGTTTAAGTGCGATAAAAAATCGTTTTAAACACGATTTTCCGCCCTCATTTTGATTGGTGAATGGTGAGTTTAATACAGAGCTGTCCAATATGAGRTCGTGTTTTGATTTAGAGACATATCTGTAACTCCGAAATCTAAAGGGTTTTGACGACAATTAGATGAACTGTGAGACGTTTTTCGAACCATGGACTCATCTAAATTAGATTATACCAAATCTGTAGCTAAAAAAGCTCAAAAACCCAAAGTTTCCAACACTCAAAGATTGATACGAGAGTCAAGAAGAAAAGTATGGGCAGAAATCGAAAATCAAAAGAGGATTCTACTAAATATAAAGAATATAAACGACGACTCCGACGAAGACGACGATTTCGATCCGTGTACTAGAAATTCAGAAAACCCTGTGATTTTTTTTAAATTGGAACGTAACGAAAGTACTGTTGATCTTAGCAATCGAATCGTTGGTCCCGTGCAAATAACTGAAATATCCGATCGTTATTTCCCCTCTATGAAAGTTACTCGCCTGTTGCTTAGAAACTGTTGGCTTGGTAACGAAGGAGTCCGGGCCGTAGCGAGGGGACTTGTGAATAACTTAACTGTTACAGAGCTGGATCTTTCGGCAAATAAGCTGGATGTGAATTCTGTTATTTCGATTGGAGAAATGTTGAGAGACAACGAAAATCTAGAAAAGCTGAGTCTAGCTTCAAATAGCTTGACAGACGCTGATGTTGAACCTTTGATGCTCGTTCTTCAAGGCAAATGCAAACTGAAAGAACTTTGTTTGAGCAATAATATCCTTGGAGATGATTTTGCTAAAGCAATTGGATCTGTTCTAGCTGTAAACAGTAATTTAGTAACCCTTGACCTCGCCTCGAACCAGCTAGCTTCGCAAGGCATTGCCGCCATGGAAACAGAGCTACGGAGAGCCAAATTCCTTAAATTTCTAGACATCTCATGGAATTATTTGTACGACGAAGGAGCTAAAGTTATAGCTGAAGTCTTAAAAGGAAATAAGTCTTTGGAGGAACTTCGTATCTGTGGGAATTTCATTCGAGTTGAGGGTGCGTCGTACATTGGAAATGCCATGAGAAAAAACTGCAACCTCAGAACCCTTCGATTAGGTCACAATTTATTGAAGAACGAAGGAGCTAACGTTCTCATTCGAGAACTTTTGCAAAGCGCAGAGACCTTGTTGGAGATTTTAAACCTTAATGGTACAGTCGTAGACGAGAGACTTGCAAGTATTTGTAGACGAGAACTTAAAGAGAAGTTCCCACAACTGAAAGTAATCCACTTGAGCGAAAGTCATTCTTGAAATTATTGGGAAATAAGCCAACATTTATTGGTATGCGTTCATACTTTCATCTCTGTGTCTTGGTGTAGTGGCTTAAACTTCCAGGGAGGTGGGGGGTGGGGAAGGGGGAGTATTGTCACACGAAAGTCATAAGAAAGAGTATTCAGCAAGTGTGATACAGAAATATTGATGATAGATTGCTAATCTTTTTTTCTTTCTTTTTTACAGAATGTTAAATTGTACTTTAGATTGAATAGTGGCTGGTGCAA